TTGAACCCTTTTGGAAAAATAATTTTATATAACAAAAGACAAATATGATGCTAAGTTTTTGATTGTTTTGAAAATAAAAATAGCTGTTGAATTTGAATTGTTGACACTAAGGGGAGACCTGTTTTATTAGGTGTTTTTTAAAAAAATATCATATCTCATGTGATATATTATTAAGGAAACCAACCAAAATTATACTTTCWGAAGAAAATGACAATGAATCCATATTTAGACGTTTTGTTTTATAAAATTGGCTCTATTAAAAGACATCAAGGACTTCAAAAGAACACTTTGCACGTGAGATTTGTAGCCAAATAGCATATGATAAAGGAAGAAATACGATATAAAGGACAGTAATGTTCACTAGTGCTATTAAATCAGAAAGTAATGCAAATGTGGATATTTTTTTTTCCTTTGCATATGTGCTTACTGCATGTTCTCTTTCAAATAAAATGATTTCCTAAAAGGGCTCTGTGCACTTAAGGGAGCCTGGTGATTTGTATCTGTACATGTATATAGTCACTCTGTGTGGGACAATGTTTGCCCACTGGGCAAAATCTAGGAATTAGTGAATGAATTTGATGCTTTTTCCTCAGGTGGAAATACTTGGCCTTTTGATTGCTATTCTACGTAAAAGTGTTCCTAATCTACAAGCAGCCACRAAGATTGGTTTGATTGAAAGAATCTTGTGGCGATTATCTAATGAACCAGAAATTGTGGCACGTAAGTGTAGATGAATTGAAAATTGCAAATATTMAAATACTGAAGCATTTGTATTCTCCTTTTATTTTTACTTTGAATTGCTTTTATTTTTAACAAAAGAGGTTTAACATTCACCTCAATATAATATATTGTGTTTGTTAGTTTGTTTTTTCATGTTATTGAATTATGACTTTTTAAAAAAGTAAAAGCCTCTAGCAATAAAATAGAATTCTACACGTCGTGTATAGAATCCCATTTTATTGCTAGAGGCATTTACTTTTAAAGCCAGAATTCAGTAAGATGAGAATTGACATTGATTGATAATCTAAGTAAAAAAAACAAAAAACAAATCACCTTCAGCAACTCAACACAAACTGGACCATTGACTTCTGATATAATTACCTAAACTTTTTTTCGATGTAATTCATTATTAGTGTTTTCATTATTTTTCTTTAGATAAACTTGTGGAGCTTCTTGGAATTCTCTCAAGCTACAGTATCACTGTCAAAGAACTCAAAAACCTGCTTGGAGCCTTAAAAGGAGAAAAGGAAAAATGGGTAATATATTTTACAATCAGTTTGTAACTTGTTAATTAATAATGGGCTCCCTGTGGAATTCTTACCACAGGTAACCTTCTCAAATGCAGTTTAGATACATTTTATGAATTTGAGCAATTTAGCCTTATTTACTATGCAACAAACACAAAACCTGCACTTCTAATAGTTTTTAGAGGATTCAGATTAAAAAATAAAACAGTTAACATCAAAAATTTAATTTCAGCCCAGACATGCTATTAAGTTACTAAAAGTACTGAAACTGATGCTTGAGAAACATGGACCAGATGTCTACTTTAACTTCACTGGACAAGATGGAGCCGTAAGTTTTGTAAACAATATTATTCTGAATTAGTTAAGATATTTGATAATTAAACTATGATTTGATGACAGTCCTACATGTAATCATTATGTG